TCATGAATGAGGATCTTCTGGACAAAAATGAACGAATGCTCGCTTAATTACTGAATACTGTGCTTGAGATAATTTTATCAGATGTAACTCGTTAATCGTTGGGCTCATCATTAATATTTGTCCTCTTCACAGAAACACTGACTTGCCAACATCACTCTTGATCATCATCGCCATGAGTAATAATAGCATTTTGAAATACTCTGAGGTGACAAAATGCAAAACATCAAGAAGCATGGATTATATATCTTATTTATAAAAATACATTTTCAAATTTCTTTGCTTGGCTATTTAACATTTACTAGTTTCTTATGTTGAACATTGTATTGAATTGTTTAGACAGTGTAAATGTGAAGTTTGTTTTCTATTTCAGAAAAAGCAGCCTGGGAGTAACACTGGAGATAGAAGGGAGTCACAAACTGCTGACAATGCTCAGGTAAGCTCATGATATTTAAATAATAATGATTCAGGTCTAAAAAGTTATTTTAGGTAATTGCTCATGTATCTAAAAAACAGCCAATGAAGACATGCAGGTCATGTAAATGAGCAAGCGCAAGTGAACCAGTATATATTTTTTAAAAATAAAAATACTCACCCATGGAACACAAAAAGGTTAAGTAGAACTTCTGAAGCCTGTGTGAGAATCAGACAAAAATATAAGTAATTATTCCAATATTAATTTCAAATGCTAAAAAATTTTCCCCTCCGCATTTGGTTTTGCATGTATATTCAAAGAGTTTCAGTAAGTAACACATTTCAGTCACTTCCTCACACAAAGCTAATGTATGGCTTTAGAAGACTTGCAATATAACAAGTATGACCTACCTTTTTCTCACTCTGATATTCCTGTTTTTATTTTCATTTGGGCATCAGAACACATCTTGAGTGAAATAGTGCATGTTACAGAAACTGAGAATCTTTGAGTGTACTTTTGTGCGTGGCAGTATTATAAAATTCAATGTTAATTCACACTGTAAAAAATTTCAAGCCGTTTCAACGAATTATTATTTAGTAATAAGTTCCACAGAAATTTTACGTTCAGTCAATTTCTGTCTTCAAAGTGTTGCCTGAAATGTTATTTTTTAGTTGGCTCAACCTTTACTGAAATAGTTTTATAGTCCACTCAACTAAAATGTTTTAATTGGTCAAACATTTAGAAAACTACAGCAAATTGTGTCAGTTAAAATGTAACCATTTACTACATGTATTTCATGTTACCTCAACTAAGATTTATTATTTGGGCATCATAAGAAATTGCTGTGGAACTAGTTATTATATTTTATACTGAGTTTAAGAAAATTATTAACTGGTGTCTATCAATCACTAAAAACACACACACATTACAACACATAATAGCCTTTATTTAATAACAATCTGCATTTATAACATTTGTCATACAGACTAAACATGCAGGCTTAAAGGAATAGTTCACCCAAAAATGAAAATTTGCTGTTAACTGATTCACCCTTATGCCATCCAAGATGTAGTTAACTTTTTTTCTTCAATTGAACAGTAAAGGAGATTTTTTGTTGAAATCATTGTCTTTGGCAATTCATAAACTGCACATCTCTGGCTGCTGGCTTTTGAGAGTCAAATAAACATGTACAGACAAGACCAAATTACCAAAGGCTTCTGAGGACACATTGAGGTCTTAGGAACCTAAACAATCAAAAACCGGCAGCCACAGATGTGTAGTGTATGAATCGCCAAGGATCACTGTTTCAGAAAAAAATCTTCTTTACTGTTCTACTGAAGAAAAAAAGTCACTGACACACCGCTTAAAGGAATAGTTCACCCAAAAATGAAAATTTGCTGTTAACTGATTCACCCTTATGCCATCCAAGATGTAGTTAACTTTTTTTCTTCAATTGAACAGTAAAGGAGATTTTTTGTTGAAATCATTGTCTTTGGCAATTCATAAACTGCACATCTCTGGCTGCTGGCTTTTGAGAGTCAAATAAACATGTACAGACAAGACCAAATTACCAAAGGCTTCTGAGGACACATTGAGGTCTTAGGAACCTAAACAATCAAAAACCGGCAGCCACAGATGTGTAGTGTATGAATCGCCAAGGATCACTGTTTCAGAAAAAAATCTTCTTTACTGTTCTACTGAAGAAAAAAAGTCACTGACATCTGGGATGGCCTGAGGGTCAGTAAAATAACAGCAAATTTCCGTTTTTGGTTGAACTATCCCTTTAAAATGCTCCAGTTGTCAAACATTACATTTGTAATACAACTGCAAAATTTCCAGAAAAAATAAATGAACCAGGTGTTACAGTTCAACTGAACTGTGTCAAGTAAAGTCCAGTCACTGTATTTATATAGCGCTTTTTACAATAAAGATTGTGTCAAAGCAGCTTTACAGTATTAAACAGAAAAAATGTGTGTCGAAGGAACCAAAACTCCATCGTTCTTCTCTGGCCAGACAAAACCAGCAGTTTAATTGCAGGCTGCAGCAATGTCAGATTGTGCAGAGGACTGGTCTGGTTCCTGTGGTCTTGTCCTGATGACCGTCTATGTGACGAGGTCTTCGGAGGGGATCTGTCTCAGGGGCTCATCTAGTTGTCATTGGCACCTCTGACATTCAGGGCTGTCAAGGTCGTCTCTAGGTGCTGATTTACTATCTGATCTGGATACAGACTGGATCCGGGTGACAGCAGTCAGGGCCAGATTTACGCATAGGCATTCTAGGCACGTGCCTATGCTTGCTCGTCCAGGGGGGGCCCAAACACAATGAAGAGATATATAATATTTTTGTTATAGCCTACTATGGGATATCTACAACAGTAAAAGAACGCCGCGAATTTATCAATAAAATAGTTTCGCATTTCTCAGTAGCAAGGTTCTTGAAGCAGTTCAACTTAAAGATTCGCTATTAGTAGACGCTGCTGCTGAATACTGCTGAGAGACGCACAGACGCAACACGCAAGTATTCACATGCACTTAATCTCTCACTCCCTCTCTCTCTCTCACTAATAACTGCGTTAGACTGCATTAATAACTGCATTAGCCTGCATATCAATGGCTCAAACCTCCGTTATTAGCTCTAAAATGGAATTTGGGAATTTGGTTATTATTTGGCCACGTCGCCGTGCCTATTAATGGAATGGTCTTTCTCAGTTCTCAAACAAATTAAGAACTACATTCAATTTTTATTGACTGAACGCAAGCGCTTATTGCGATAGAAAACACTGTAACGGTTTCCGTTACAAAAAATATTTTTGTTTGCTTGGGTGGTAATATTAGGCCTATTATATTAATAGGGAAGGGGGGCCCAAAAATTTGTTTTGCCTATGTCACGAAAAGAGGTAAATCCGGCCATGACTGCAGTGACCATCCAATCTGGATACAGTCTGGATCTGGGTGGCTATGGTGACCTCGGAATAAGAATGAGACAGTCTAATATTAGTGTAGATGCCACTGAGAACAATAAAGCACATTTTAATTGTAGTAAAAACTCAAAACATTAACACATATTACCTTAAGTCTTAGTCTTGAAAGTACACGCACATTGTGTAGTTGCATTGGAGCGGTCTGGTCACATGGCAGTGTTTTGTTTTAGCCACACCCTGATGGAGAAAAAAAAGTACAATTTATCTCAAAAAATGAAATGATGCCTTTTAAATAATTTAAAATATAATACCAGTTAATTAAATTTGTGATGAAATAGAAGTTGTAACCATTTTTTTTTTGGCACACACAGAAAAGAAATCTCAATCCATTGCACAACACAGGGAGCATTGATGTTGACTATGTTCATTTGTTGCAAGGATTTGTAATAGAACATGCACATTTCATATTATAAGTTTACCTTAAACACCATAAAAATTATATCAAAATATATCGGTCCTGCCTGTTGTTGATAAATACAAATGGTATCATTTTACAAATTGATTGATCAATTATCCCAATGTTTACTAAGCCATGGTCTCTTTACCAGTGCAGGGACTCGTGTGCACGATCTAGTGATTCACTACAGGGAACTGACTGAGACGCAGTCTGATTTGATAACAGCCTTGTGAAACGATTCAGTTGTTTATTTTGGTTCGGAACAAACTACTCTTCTGAGGCGCCATTCACAAGAACAGAAACACCGTTTGCAATTCGCTTCATTTGAAAAGAGCCGTGGCTGGTTGCTAGTCACGTTTAATGTCGTATTTTAACTTCACGGGACAATTGCAAAAGTTTGCACACGCAAAAACCCATTCAACATGCCCATGTTAACATCAAATACGCGCATTACTGTGGGTTACATTATACGTTTCGTCGTATTAAGCATCAATGGCTTATAAAAGAGAAAGACCGCACGAGCTCTTCATATCTTTTAACGTCACGGAAACACAAAAATATCATACAACACACCAAAATGAAACCTAAAATTCATTATAGTAACACAGCTTGTGACATTAATTGTTTTATGGATTAAACAAGAAGAAAGACCACGTTCCCTTAACTTAAACAGTTCATTTCCCTCATATAATTCATACAATGCATATTCTATGTTTTTATATATGTTGTACCTTTGTGTATAAATATATACGTTTTAAATAATACGTTTAAACCTTTTTGAATATACAAGTTTTGATAAATTCAGTCTAAGTACAAATATTTATACAGTGCCACTTACCTGACGCATTAACTTGACATACACTTAACATAAATATTCATTTTTCTTCGGACATACGACTTATAAAACACTTCTAAATATCCACTCAAAAACATTGAATATGTTGTACGATTTTGACGATAAATTTAGTCTAAAAAATAACATACCTCTTTGGATTTGAGACTTTAGTCTTTGCAACTTTACAGATCTTCTTTATGCATCAAGAGCTTTTAACACTCCAAAGTGAAAGGAAAAAATTGAAATAGCATCATATGACCCCTTTAAACAACATAAAAATAATATCAAAATATAACGGTCCTGACTGTTGTTGATAAATGCCAGTGGTAACGTTTTACAAATTGATTGATCAATTGTCCCAATGTTTACTAAGCCATGGTCTCTTTACCAGTGCAGGGACTTGTGTGTACGATCTAGTGATTCACTACCTAGGGAACTGACTGAGACGTACCCTGCTTTGATAACGGCCCTGTGAAAGGATTCAGTTGTTTATTCTCATTCGGAACGAACTCTTCTTCACGAGACCAGAAACACCATTTGGAGTTTGCTCGTTTGAAAAAAAAAAATAAGCGAGATTTCAGCGAGGCTTGTTGTTAGTCACGTTTAATGTCGTCTTTAACTTCATGGGACAATTGCAACAGTTTGCACATGCAAAAACACATTCAACACGCCCACGTTAACTTCGAATATGCGCGCTACTGTGGTTTACATTACACGTTTCGTCGTATTAAGCATCAATGGCTTATAAAAGAGAAAGACCGCACGAGCTCTTCATATCTTTTAACGTCACGGAAACACAAAAATATCATA